CGCAGCCACGCAGCCACGCAGCCACGCAGCCACCCTGTGTCACAGGCCAGCTCTGGCCACTTTTGCTTAGGCTTCACCCACCAGGAGCAACGTTTGGCGCACTCTCCAAGTGGGCTGAGCTGTGGTTTACCAACTCCAACACCGCCCCTCAACACTGGAAGCGCTGCCCCTCAAAGATGAGGGCCCGGTACCCACTCCAAAGAGTCATGTCTCGCCCTCATGGGCATGGCCCTGCCCGCTCGCACCTTAGCTCCTCCTCCAAGCTGATCGAGCTGTTTGCGTCACACCTGGGTGACTCCGCCCACCTGGATTCAGCGCCTCTCCGCTTCTCTACCTGCACAGTCCTGCCCCGGCCCATTACACAGATAGCCCAGCCTCCCTCTTCTGAGCCTATTCACAGGGGCTGGGAACAGGCCCTGTTCTTTCCGAAGCCTTCCTTCCCACTCAGATCGGCCCTTCTCGAGTGAGTCATATCCCACCTAAGTCCAAACCTGATCATGGTTCCTGCCTTTGATCCCGCCCAGCTGTCTCCTGTTGGAGGGCTCTGCCCATCTGTCCCTTGCTGTTCTACTCTTGTGTGTCCTCAGGAAAGAACCTGTGTGCTGAGGGGGGACACGGCTGCCAGCACCAATGTGTCAGCTCCCCCGGCACCTTCCACTGCACCTGCAACCCCGGCTACCAGCTAGCTGCAGATCACAAGGGCTGTTTGGGTGAGAACTATTCCGGCCCTGCCATCCTGAGCCTTCCGAGGCCCCCCATTGCCCCGGCATCAGCCCAATGCGGGAAAGGTCTTTGGAAGTAAAGTCCGGCTCCCTCGCTTTATAGGTCTGAGAAAGGGCAGGCATGCCTGGAGCCACACAAGTCCTTGATGTGACCACAGCTAAGAACCGTGACCCCGCAATTAAGTGTGCTTTCTGCATCCTCCCGTCTCCTGTCTGGCTCCAGTACACCTCCCAAATGTGTTTGTGTCTTCTCACAGGCACGTCTTTACAGTTTCTGTAACTTAGACACTGTTGGAGTCTTCACTTATGGTCGCCATACACCACCTCCCCTGCCACGTACATGCTGTCATTACTGCTTCTGCATCTCACCTGGGCTGCTCACCTGGGCTTGCTTCCTGCTCCTCCCTGCACCTGCAAATCTTTCAAGGCCGGGTTCTTTTTTTTTGCCTCCGGAAAAGCCACGCCACACAATGCCTTTGCTTGTACAATTGGGACTTTCTTTTTCATGTGTATCTGTGTCCACTCCTTTCATCTTAATGACAGATACCATGTGCTGAGTGCCAAGTTAATATCAGACATTGTGCTTGGAGCACTGCATACATTATCTCCCAACCTCGCCACAACCTGGAAAATGAGGTCATGTGATCCCCATAATGTCCGCTGGGGGTTTCTTGTTTCTAGAACTTGGACAAAACTGGTTTGATACCCCATGTGATGACCCATGAACATCCCACTCCTCCCCCCGCACCCCCGCCCAGATCTCCGGGAATTCCCCAAGTGCTTACATTCTGTGGCACACTCCCACTCTGAGCTTCTGCAGAATTCAATCAGTTTATGGCTCCTCTCTCAATTTCTCAACCCCACACATGCTGTACTTGTTCCGTGCGCATAAATCAGCCTCTTCCTTGGTTCACACACTTGTGCACACAACGACATGTGTGTGTACTTGTAAGTGCGTGCATATGCCCATTTCACTAAAGATGGGGTGGACACAGGTGTGAATTACATCTCAGTAAAGCCAAACATACCAGTACACACACCAAAGGAAACATCCTTTTTCAAAAATCTTTATTGCTGAAAGTATTACAGATGTCCCCTGAAACATCCATTTTATACATAATTGAATACTAAGCACCCTTGACCCTGAAAGCCCTCGGTCACCCACTGCAAGGGATTTTTTTTACTGGCATTCTCAACCCACCCAGCCACTCATCTTCACACCATTTGTCTTGTTCTTCTTCTTCCTCTCTCCACTTCCCCCTCTTTTCTAGAAACCCCAAATTCTCACTTTTTTTTAAATGCAGGATAACTCGCCTCTCTCCAGCCCTTATTCCCCAGTGCAGCGCCAGGCCATCTTTGCGCATCTAAGCCATCAAGATACGCAGCAGGGCAATAGCTCACCTTCCCCAGAAGGAAGTTGTAAATAGCAATGGCTCTCTTCCATTGTTTCCTCATTTTGCAGGTGGGGAAATGGGGGCTCAGACGGGTGAAGTGTCAGGATCTAGTCCTTCTGCATTAGTCAGTGAGCATCTTCAGGGCAGGGGCCCTGTCTTCCACAGCTGTGGATTCTCGGTCTTAATCCTGGCTTAGTAAGGTGCACTCCGGGATGCATCTGGGTCTTGAGCTGGTAGGGCCACCTGGCCCAGAGCAAGGAGGCCTGTGCATATAGGAATCAAGGTTGCCTGGTTACCACCCCAGGTTAATTAAATCAGGATAGTTGGGAATTGCAGTACAGGCATCAGAAGTAGGGAAAGGGAGAGATATAGAGAGATAGAAACATCCATGATGAGAGAGAATCATTGATCAGCTGCCTCCTGCACACCCCACACTGGAAATCAAGCCTGCAACCTGGGCATGTGCCCTGACCATGAATCGACCTCCTGGTTCATAGGGTGACACACTCGGCCACTGAGCCATGCCAGCTGCTTGGGGCGTGGGTATTTTTTAAAAGCTGTGCTGTCAGGGCTGAGAAGTGCAGCCCCCAAAGTATCTGCCAGCCTCCCCTCTTCCTCAGCCATTGGCCTGTGCACGGAAGAAACGCATGGCTGTGAGCACCACTGTGTCAGTTCCCCAGGTTCCTATTTCTGTTGATTCAGGGCTGGCTTTGTACTCCAGCAGGACCAGAGGAGCTGCAGGGTTGAGCGACACCCCTCTTTCCCGCCCCCCCTCGCACACATTAGCACCCTGGATTGAGGTCTCTAATGGCTCCAGTCAGAAGCGATATCTTACTGCCTTTCCCTTCCCACCAGTCATTGATCACTGCAGCTTTGGGAACCACAGCTGCCAGCATGAGTGTGTTAGCACCCTTGGTGGGCCAAGGTGCCGCTGCAGAGAAGGCCACGAGTTGCTACCTGATGGGAGGAGCTGTCATGGTGAGGAGGGGTCTCCTGCCTTGGGCAGAGGGGCAAAGGGTCTTAGCTAGTGGAGTCCACCCTGACTTATCCTCACCTGTCTCTCCTTCCAGCTCAGGACCTTTGTAATGGCGTAGACCATGGATGTGAGTTCCAGTGTGTGAGCGACGGCCTCACCTACCGCTGCCTGTGCCCTGATGGACGGCAGCTCCAGGCAGATGGCAAGAGCTGCAACCGTGAGTTAAGGAGTTATGGGTGGGAGGGGACACTGTCCGTCCCTGCCCCACTGCTCACGTTCTGAGCACCCTTGACTTTGGTGTGGGTGTGGTGTGAAAGTGTGAGTGTAGGTGGTGGTGATGGCATTGGAGGGTGTGCCATACCCTTCCTCTATCTCTTTCTCTTCAATTCTTTACCCTGTTGCCAATATATTCTTATTGATTTTAGAGAGAGTGATAGAAACATCAATGATGAGAGAGAATTATTGATTGGCTGCCTCCTGCACGCCCTGTACTAGGGATTGAGCCCACAACCCAGGCATGTGCCCTGACTAGGAATGGAATGGTGACCTCCCGGTTCATCGATCGACCCTCAACCACTGAGCAACACTGGCCGGCCAAGGTTAATTTTTTAAAAATACATACATGGGTGGGCAAAAGTAAGATTACAGTTGTGAGTACGTGAAACACAAAGTTTATTCTTGTATTATTATTTGTTGATTATTGTATTATTTTCCATACAAACAACTATAACCTACTTTTGCCCACTCCTGTATTTGATCACATTCTTCCCTCGCTCAAAAGTGATCTGTGGCTCACCAGTGCCTACAGAATAAAGATCAAATGCCTTACCCCTGAGTTTTTCAGATGCGGGGTACAACCACATTCGTGGATAATGAAATCAAATTAGGGAGTTACAACCACTATTAACACGAAAGAAAGAAAAAATAGAGTTTACAGCATGTAGAAAGAATGAATATTTCATGAAACGTAATTTTAATTGAGCATATGTAGTACATCATGATGTATTATTATGGTTGTTGTTGTTTTTACTGTGGGTTGTGGTCCCATTTTTGAAACGACTGCCTTAGCTCATCACAGTCTAGCTTCAGCCAACTCCATAAGCCTGTCTCCTGCCACACTTGAACACTTTAGCCAGACTGGCCTGTCTTTCCCCAAATGTGTCAAGAACTTCCATGCCTGGGCATATTCTGCCCCCGCCATCTAGAATGTCCCTCCATGCCTTGGAGAAGTCCCACTCTTCTTTGAAGACCAAGTCAAATGTCACCACCTCCATGCAGCCTTCCTCACCAAGTCAGGAAGAATGAATTATTCTTACCTCAGGCTCTCCGCTGTAACATAGGGCACGTCTGACTGCTCTGCTCTGTCCTAATTTCCTTATGGACCAGGATTATGTTACATTTATTGTTGAAACACCTTCAGGACTAGCAAAGTCCCTGGCTCAGAACAGGGGAGTCAACATTGCAGAGTGCTTAGGAGCATGGGTTTGGGGGCCAGACAGACCTAGTTTCAAATCCTGGCTATGGAATCCAGAGCAAAACACTTTATACTTCAGAGCCTCGAGTTACAGAAAATGGGGATAATCCCCAAGGTTATTGGGAAGACTGAGAAACAACATATAAAGCTCCTAGCCCAGTGCCTGACACACAGTAAGCTGTCAAATAATAATGTTTTTGTTTTTATTTCATATTGTTAATACTGGTAAAGTGTTTAGGATTCTGTCTGGTACATAGCAGATGATCAATAAAGACTAACGATTGTAGTTGTGGGTATTATTATTGTTATTGTTAAGATGCTTTTAGCATATTGCCTGGTTTGTTGTGCTCAGCGCTCAATAAATGGCAGAGGTGGTAACGATGCTGATAATAATATAACAATACATCCTGCCAGTGCCTGGCCCCGGAAGGCCTTCACACATGGTGCCTGTTATAGAATGAGTGAGTGACGAGCTGGGTAGATGGCTGCTGCCAGCCAAGATCCTGGTCTCTCCATCCAAGACCTTCTCCTCACTGCCTAGGGTGCCGGGAGGGCCACGTGGATCTGGTGCTGCTGGTCGATGGCTCCAAGAGCGTGCGCCCTCAGAACTTCGAGCTGGTGAAGCGTTTTGTGAACCAGATCGTGGACTTCCTGGACGTGTCCCCCGAGGGCACGCGCGTGGGGATGGTGCAGTTCTCCAGCCGAGTGCGCACAGAGTTCCCTCTGGGCCGCTATGGCACCGCGGCCGAGGTGAAGCAGGCGGTCCTGGCTGTGGAGTACATGGAGCGCGGTACCATGACTGGGCTGGCGCTGCGCCACATGGTGGAACACAGCTTCTCCGAGGCGCAGGGCGCGCGGCCCCGCGTCCTCAATGTACCTCGCGTGGGCCTGGTCTTCACCGATGGCCGCTCCCAGGATGACATCTCAGTGTGGGCTGCGCGCGCCAAGGAGGAAGGTGGGCTTGGCGCGAGGCGCGCTGGCCTGGGGTTGGGTTGGACTCGGGGAGGTGACTTTCCTGAGGTCTAGGGCGCCCCCTGTGCCCTCCGTAGGCATCGTCATGTACGCCGTGGGCGTGGGCAAGGCGGTGGAGGAGGAGCTGCGCCAGATCGCCTCCGAGCCCGCAGACCTGCACGTGTCCTACTCCCCTGACTTCAGCACCATGACACACCTGCTGGAGAATCTCAAAGGCAGCATCTGCCCGGGTGAGCACGTCTGGCTCGGCCCCTCCCCTTCTCTCTTTGCCTAACCTCTGATATCTCCCCTTACTGTTCACCCCCATCCCCTCCTAGAGTTACAGCCAGGGCGTGGGCCTCACTAGACATAGCCTTGTTACTCCAAGTGTGGCCGGGGCTGCGGCAGGCAGGGCCCTCACTGGGGAGCTTGTTAGAACAGCAGCATTTCCAACTCTCTCCAGGCCAAATGAATTAGATTTTGCACTTGAACCAAATGCGTTTGTATGTATGTTAAAGTTTAAGAAGCACTAGACTAGGCTAGACCTGTCCCCAAAACTAGTGGGTGTTAAGAATGATTTGGGCACATTTCTCAGAGGAATGCCAACCAGCGTTTCTATAGTTCATTAACTTGGAATTCAATTGTACAGACTTAGCAAAGTGGCAGGACGGAGTGTTTCAAGTACACAAAGCCATGTATTTTCGTTTGAACAATGTAGCCCATAAATGCAATCCGTACTTCATGGTGTTCAGCGGAAAAAATGCTGTGAAGGAGGAGACGAGAGCTGTTGAACCTTGCGAACTGTACTTTAGAGGCTATACAGGGGCTTTTGGGGGTAGTTTTTACCATAGATTCTTTAGACTCTAACCCAGGCCTAAGATGTGACTCTTCTTTCAGATTTCCAGGCCCTACCTCCAGAGCGAGGTTCAGGAGAGCTAGGCTGGGCCTAGGAAGTCTCTCTCTCTCTCTCTCTCTCTCTCTCTCACACACACACACACACATAGAACTGCATGGGTCCACTTATATGTGGATAAAATGTATGCCTGTAAGTAGACTTGCTCAGTTCAAATCCATGTTGTTCATAGGTCAACAAATCCAAATATGCAGAGGGCTGACTTAAGTGATCTGCAGATTTTCAACTATGCAGTGGGTCACAGTTTCTAATCCTTGCTTTGTTCAAGGGCCAGCTGTATATACATACATATAGGTGGATACATACGTATATGTGTATATGTATATGCATATACATATATACACATGCACACATACGCCCCCATGCTAATTCTAATAATTAGCCAGCACACTGGGGAGGCACCGGATAGCTGCTTCTTCAGGGCCCTTCCTGTCCTGGCTCTCATGTCCCACACAGTGTAATATTGGATAAGACACTTAATCCCCACCCATACCTCAACTTCCCTCCTGTAACAGGGGAGGGTGCTGGCTACCCAAGGTTGTCTCCAGCTCTAGAATCCTAAGAGAAATCTGGGATCTGGAGTTGAGGCCCTTCACCAATTGGCTGTATGACTTTGGGCAGATCCTCCCCACCCCACCTGGATTTCCTCATCTGCAAAGTTAGGAGTCTTTGTGGGACAGTCACCAAGGCCATTAATGGATGACATACAGCAGTTTGCTAAGGATGCATACAAGACTAAGAAGTAACCTTTAAAATCATAACAGCAATTCTTTATTGGAGGCCCAGGCATTGTGCTGTCATTAAAAATGCCACATGTTTACAGAACGTCAGTGAATCCAAGGTACCATCCATTGTCAAATTCACCATTATTTTCTACGTAGCTAAGAAAAATGGGGGCCAAATTTAATTATAAGGCACTTATTGCGTCAGACTCACCTAGAGGTTCAGTTAAAACACAGATTGCTGGGCTCCAACTGCAGTGTTTCTGATCCAGGTAGAGCCTGATAATTTGCATTTCTAATAACTTCCCAGATGACGCTGATGCTTCCTGTCCTGGGACACTTGGAGAACCGCTGGTCTAGTTGAAATACTCTGTCAGGCATTTACTGTGTCAGGCAGTGCTCTGGATCTGCACTCCCAATAAGGTAGCCACCAGCGACATGTGCCCACTTAATTTAAATTAATTACAATTAAAGTAAAAAATTAGTTCTGTAGTCACACAAAGCCATATTTCAGGTGTTAAATAGCCACACGTGGCTTGTGGCCACCACACAGGACAGGGCAGATATGGAACGTGTCATCGCTGCATAAAGTTTCACTTGGAGAGGGCTGCTGTGAACTCTTGCCGCTATTTTATTTTAAGAAGATCTCCGGGTGATTCTGAGCATCGAGTTTTGAGAAACACTCTTCTAAGGTGTGTATACACACACACAAATGATAGAATCCTCAGTACCAGCCAATGAATAGATTTTCTCGTATCCTTTTTTACAGATGGGGAAACGAGGCTTAGAAAGGTTGAGTGAGGTTTCCAATATCTCACAGCTACTAGTATGTAGCTGGACTCATCCCAGGTCTGTTTGAACCCAAGGCCCATACACTCAGGCTGGGTGGACGCAGAGCACAGGGCCTTGGCCAGGGACCCCTGGTCCTGCAGATTCTCATTCCCCTGACTTTCTGTCCCTGGCTGGCAGAGGAGGGCATCAGCGCCGGGACAGAGCTTCGGAGTCCCTGTGAGTGCGAAAGCCTCGTGGAGTTCCAGGGCCGCACGCTGGGGGCGCTCGAGAGTCTCACTCAGAACCATATCCTTTGAGTTGGGGGCGCCGGCTGGAGTGAAGGGGACGGGACCCCCGCGATCCCCGCCGGTTTCCTTAACCGCTCACTCGCCCAGCTGACGGCGCGCCTGGAGGATCTGGAGAACCAGCTGGCCACCCATATGTGAAGCCCGCGGTGGCCCGGACCGGGCAGGGGTGAGGCCCCAAGGACAATGCCCCCTCTTGAGCCATCGGGGCGCCAGGGCGGGACTGAGCCTGAGCCCCTTGGGCTCGGACTGTCGGGGACCGGGGGCTGGCGGGTTCCCAGCGCTGAGCTGGCCTCGCCCGGATCACAAGCCTGACTGCGGAGGCCGGGGACGCGTGCTGGGTCCGCACGCTCTGCCGCTTGCTTCTCTGCTCTCAGTTCTTTGTTGGATTTCTTTTTTTGTTTGCTTGTTTTCTTTTTCTTAAAAAAAAAAATCTGGTTTCCTCGGGGTCGGTTTGTGGGTCTTGCTACGCCGCCAGGGGGAGGGGAGGCCAGACGGAGTGCGCTCCTGCGGCGCCCGAGTGGCGTCTCCTCCGAGAAAGGCGCTTTGTGCGGGGGTCGGGCTGGGGGGCAGGGGCCTGGGCACCGCTTCCCCCTCCTTGTTTATTCAGCCAGAACAGACGGCTCCTTCTGCCGGCTGCGGGAAGGGAGGGGGCTCCAGGGGAACCCCTGGGGTCTGCGCAAGTCTGCGCCCCCTCCATTCCGCAGCGGGTCAAACGCTTCGCTCTCTGGCCATACCTATCTCGTGGTGCCCCCAAACCTGACGGAAAAGCTGCTGGAACTGGGCGGGGAGTTGGCGAGGAAGCAGAAGGCAGTAACTGAGCCCCTAAATGGACGGGGTGGGGGCGGAGAGGTGAATTTCGCCTGGATTTCATCTCCCTCCTGCATTAGGTAGGAAGAAGAGAGGGTATCAGCCAGGACCTCGGCGCAGAGCAGGCCCCTGCCTGCCCAACCTGTGCCCCACACTCTCTGCCTCTGCTCCTCAAACAAACAAACAAACAAACAAACAAACAAACAAACCACAAAAACAACAACCCTAAAACCAGCCCTCTGTGGTACAGAGCACAGACCAGTACCATTTTCCAAGCGCATGTAAGAAAACGCAAAGATTAAAATGCTTCCAGTCCTAGAGTAATTGTGCGCAAATTACTCTTTGTTCTCATATCTGTCAATGGGGATTGAAATTGTTACCCCCAAGAGTGATGGTGAGAACTGAGGAAATATTCTAAGGAATCTGGCATTGTGCCTGGCACAATGAATGCCTCTCCATCAATGGTAGCTATTAATTATTCTTATAATGACAGCTAACGCATTTAGTCCTGAGCACTATTCTAAGTGATTTGCAGGTACTGGCATTTTATCCTCACAAAAACCTTGTGAGGTAGGAATTATTGCCTTTATCACCCCCATTTTGCAGACCTTCCAGCCAAGCCTTATCCTGTGGCTGGAATTTCAGTAGGATTTCCGGTCAAGGAGGATTTCACAGGTGAATGAAGCATGGACGTGTGTGGTTAGGAGTGACTGGAGTGTGTGGGGACGGAATAATTGATGACTGAGATCTTACCTGGACTTGAGGGTCAGATGGGCTAAAGTGCTAAGACACAGCGCCTGACTTATGACTTCATCTGCCCCAAACCTTGATTTTACAGTTGGGGAACCAGGGCTAGAGGGCAGAGTTGCCTGCTCAAGATCACACAGTGAGAGAAACCCACCTGGGTCAGGCAGCAGCCTAGGGGAGTCTGATTGGATTGAGGACGCCAACTGATGGGGTGGCCAGGAGCGCAAAGCTCGCTCCTTTGGCGATGGCCCGGACCGCCTTCTCTGGGGTTTCTTTTCTCATCTGCTCTTTTGTCCTGCAATTTCTTCAATAGCCACTGGATGGCGCCTGAAGCTCTGATTTGGAGTTGAGTCCCAAATCAGACACTTGGCATCTGGCACTGGGACTAAGGAGCCAGGCCAGCCCTTCTTCTTCTTCTTCTTTTTAAAAAAATATATTTTATTGATTCTTTACAGAGAGGAAGGGAGAGGGATAGATAGAAACATTGATGAGAGAGAAACATCAATCAGCTGCCTCCTGGACACCCCCTATTGGGGATGTGCCCGCAACCAAGGTTCATGCCTTTGACCAGAATCGAACCTGGGACCCTTCAGTCTGCAGTCCAACGCTCTATCCACTGAGCCAAACAGGTCAGGGCCAGGCCAGCCCTTCTCCATAAAGCCTTCTTCCCGGTTCAGACCCCTCCCCGACTCTGGCCGACCCACCACCCCAGGCTGGAGGCTGCTTCTGTTCCATAGGTATTGAGCACACACTCCTGGATTTGCAGACCAACCCCACTGCTTACCACTGTGTATCCTGTTGACAGGTGCTGGCTTCCTTCCCCATCTCCCACCACCCCCCCCCCCTCATTTCTCATTTCCCTTTCCTCTTATCCCCTTTTGCCTTTTGGTTAGGAAAGAATGTCCCACACGTGGGCAGCTAGCCCTAACTTCTTTGTTTACACCCCTTCTACGTCAAAGGATAGCAGTCTTACAAAGGACTCATCAGTTCATTAACCCAAGAACAGAAAGAACCCAAGTAACAGAAGGGGGAGGGGAGGCGGGGAGGAGAGTGGCAGTGCCAAGAAAGCTTAGGTCAAGAGAAGGCACAGAGCCACTGGGCCTCCTGGGGGCCAAAGGCTGATAACACTGGGCACAGAGCACTTACATTTTGGGGGACTCTTTTTTTAAATTGATTTCAGAAAGGAAGGGAGATAGAGCGAAATAGAAACATCAATGACGAGAGAGAATCATTGATTGGCTGCCTCCTGCATGCCCCCCACTGGGGATCGAGCCCACAACTTGGGCATGTGCCCTTGATCAGAATTGATCCCTGGACCCTTTAGTCCTCAGTCCCATGCTCTATCCACTGAGCCGAACTGGCTCGGGCTTGGGGGACTCTTGAGCCCAGATCTCCTAGAGGGAAGATCAGCGCTCAGCCCTCTTGGTTCCCTGGAGATGTGAATATTTAAAAGGTCATTATCCTCCACAGGTTGGAGCTAGCTTCTTCTACTTGGTAACGTGTGTTAGGCGTGGTCCCAGATGGGAAAACCAAGAGCAGGAAGGGCCTGCAACCTCAGCCAGTTCCCCTGACTCCCTTTCTGAATTACAGCTTTCTCTATGTTCTCTGGCTTCCCGTTTCTCCCTGATTTTTGGCCTTTTATCTTTCTATTCTAGCTCACAGCCCTTCTCAGTTTCTCCAAGAGTTATCGACTCTTCTGGTTCTTTGGACTCAAGATAGTGAGAAGGGGAGAGAAGCAAACCATCAGTTAGGAAACACCTACAGCGTGCCAGGGATTATGCTGTCCCTTGCACCTGCGCTGTCTTGTTTAAGCCCCTCAGCCTATGGAAGGGAAAAGTGACTCTCAAAGAGGCCAGTTGCCCATGGCCACAGAGCTTCCAAGCTAGGATTTGAACCCAAGTGTCCCTGATCCTAGGTATGCCCCTTTCATACTTATCCTTCAGTTCAACAGGGGCAAATTTGGACTTTTTCAAAGAAACTTTTATTAGGAAACTTAAGGGGCAGACAAAAGCAAAGCACAAAGTATGGAAGAGATGAGGGGCAGAGTGATGGTTCTTACGAGAAGTGCCCATGAATCTTGGTATAATAGCTGAATTGTTATGATCTATTAATTTACTTTTAAATCAATACAGAGAAAATAGTATTATTGTGAGTGGAAGGGAGTTCCAGGCATATGAGAACATTTTGATTAAGGATCTCTTGAAAGTACAGCCAAAAAGCTCAATTAGGAGACGAGTTCATGAAAGACTAAGTACAAATAGCCTAATCCCCAAAATAACTTTGAAATAAGGATTTTAAGCCCCTGGAGAGAATAAAAAGAATAATATTCATTAAAAGAGAAGAGGAGGATATAAAATAAAAATTGGTAGATATGAAACAAGAAGAGACGGATGTGGAAAAAGATGAGGGTGTGACATACATACAGCTCAAGTTCTGGATAGAGGAAAAGAAAGTCAGAAGAGAGATTCAAAGACGTCATGGAGGGTTTTTTCG